GGGGGGGGGGGGGGGGAGGGGAGTTGAAGCAAGTTTGTGCCGGTCCCCATCATACAAACGTCTGTAAAATTTTGCGAGTTTGAGGACCTATATCTTCGTCAGTTTTCAATAATCACTTTCAAAACTTGGCAATGTTACTCATTTTAAGGCGTTCTTTCCAGTGGTGCCAACTGCCGATATATTTTTCTTAACTTCTCCATATAAAAAGTAGACAGAAAGAAAGTAACGTGAAATAGTGTATCCTGAATGGGTTAGAGAAACCAAAAGTCAGTCGTCTTTGGGTGTTCGCACTGCGCGACTTAGTTGAGTAGAAAATAGTAATAAAATGTATAAAAAAGTTGTAATCCATTTTCATTTTTTTTCCTGTTTTAGGGCTAGTTTACAATTAGCGATTGTAGGCCCGATTTCAAAATAAAAAAAAGGAGATGCAACAGTTTCTTTTAATCTATCCGGCTTAAAGCTCTCCAGTTACAAGGGCAAGTTCCTTCTTCCTCCCGCCATTGTTGCTTAAGCTCGATTATGTTACTTGCTGCTTGACTCACAATTTTGTTATCGCTCAGTGAGGACTGGCTGCCTCTAACTTAAATAACTCGCTACTGTTTTGCAGCAAGTATACGTTTCAAAAAGTAGGGTCACGTTCTCCATTACGTAACGTCTGCTACAGCAAAAATAAGTACGAAGATGGGGAGGCCGCCCACGAGGATAAACCATTAACCCTTAACATATCATTTTTGACAGAAAAGCCGGGGTACCCTTTCGTATACCGTCAGGCCTGAACCAATGTCGGCAAAGACCGTAAACGCCGCATAAGTCCTCCTCTTCAGTTATGGGCCCATATCATGCCTGTAAACGAAAAAAAAAAAAATCCGAATATAATCCCCACCGAATATAATAAGCTCCCCTCTTGCTTGAACTGAATTGAATTCGATTTGTAGCCTTAATTAACCGTCGCGACCAGTAAATGCAAAAACATCTGTTTTGATCAACAATGCTACAGCTTATTTCGAAGCGCTTATTCTGCCTGCATCTATAGGCCCCCTCGGATATTAAATCCCCTCTGTTTACGGGCCTTACTAAAACCTCTTAAGAAGATGTATAGGCGAAAGTTTATGGAAGACGATCTGTTAAGAATGAGCAACATTTAAGAGGAGGGGAAATAACTCGATGTCTGTGGGTTCATAGCCGTTAAAAAACTGTTTACTTCTTGTTCTTGTTCTATTTTATTATTATTATATTTTTTTTTGTGCGAACAATCATCTCAATAACGTCACAGCAGTAGAGGAAGGAGATATTTTTGTACCTCTCTCACATATCTAGCACTAACAGAAAGTTTTCTTGTCGTTTTCATGCAGCGTTTAAATTGATTTAATGAATTTAATCTAAGTTTAATTTCAGTGGCTGTAAAATTGCCAAATTTGAAGGCGATACGTCTTAAGCGTGCAGAGATATATAGCTCAGCAAAGTTGTGAAAATCTACAGACCTTTGTACGTGGTGGGGGAGGGAGGGGGGGGGGGAGGAAGTAAGTTTGTGCCGGCCCCAATCATACAAACCTCTGTAAAATTTCGCGACTTTGAGGACTTATATCTTCGTCAGTTTTCAACAATCACTTTCAAAACTTGGCAATGTTACTCATTTTAGGCGTTCTTTCCAGTGGTGCCAACTGCCGATATATTTTTCTTAACTTCTCCATATTAAAAGTAGGCAGAAAGAAAGTAACGTGAAATAGTCTATACTGAATTGTAAGAGGTACCCTTTGGGGAAGCACCTCCCCGTATAGGTTAATATGGGAAGCCCCCCTCCCCACCTCACCCCGCCTTCAAGGTATAAGATATCGATCGGAGTTTAAAAATAAACACACTGTCTCACACCAGACACGTTAAAGCTTGTTTAGCTGGAGCTTAATGGAGCCGCTACTTTTCTGACATAACATAGCCAACTTGGATTGAAGGCAAAGTATTATTTTTGACGCACTAAAGAGGAAAGGCATCGGGTACCGTTAAAAACGCAAAGTCATGATAGCATGCATAAAACTTTGTTGCTTAAACAATTTATGTTCTGCCATTTATTTTTGGAATGTTCGTCTTTTGACCCTGTTTCAGCACCCTGAAGCGAGAATAAACAGAGAATAAGAGGATGCAAAAAATTGCTATAAAAGGAAAAAGAAATAAGCAAAAACAAACAAACAATATACCGGAACAGCTGAGGATTTACTTAAAATATTTGCTATAAAATGATGAGCACGTAGCACTGATCTCAGTAAACGCTGTGTTCTCGTTCAACTCTCACCGCCATGGTTCAGTATTTCGCTGTTTTCCTGATTCTCTCTTTTTTTGACGGCTCACTGGTAACAACTTCCTCACCTCAGCAACAAAACTCCACAGAGTTAAAAGACTTATGCCAGGTAAGAAATGCATAAAGATATAAAAAAGAGTACTGCGGCGTAGCTTAGGTATACCCAGAAACCATTTATTACTCTAACGTCTTTATGATCACTTACTAAAAAGTACCCGTTAAAAGTTTATGGCAGTTTATTTAAAAGTCCTCGCTTAATTCAGCATGATCTTTCCTCGAAAACCTGAAGCCTGTTCATGTTAGCTGTTAATTTTCTCTGATTCCATCCAAGTCCATTGGAGGCGAGATAACGCTTTAAATAGGATTATGATGTCCAAGGTCCATTTCGTGCCTCGAAAACAAGGGAGACGGCCAGCGGTACAGACTTTGTTCATTTTGGTGTGGAGTCATTATTTGCGAGGAAGCTACGGGCGTGTATGAACGGAATTATCCTTTCATTTGCAAAAGAGAATTAATCTAAGTAATGGTGACATGCATAATTTCTCAGAGACATGCAGGTCCTAAAACTGGTATGGATTTTAGAGGCGAAGTCTGAAAACGGGTGTAAAAAATGACGTGTTTTGGTCTGAAATAGAATCACGATTTGGAGAACCGGGCGGCACATCCCCACCAAGAATTCCCAGGAGTACATCCACCCCGACAGGGACTTCTAGGAATGAAAGGAGAGGCAGGCATTGCGGGAATGAAAGGAGAGCAAGGAGCTGTAGGAGTGAAAGGAGAGCGAGGCATTATGGGAATAAAAGGAGCGCGCGGAGCTGTGGGAATGAAAGGAGAGCGAGGCATTATGGGAATGAAAGGATCGCGCGGAGCTGTGGGAATGAAAGGAGAGCGAGGCATTGTGGGAATGAAAGGAGAGCGCGGAACTGTGGGAATGAAAGGACAGCGGGGCATTGTGGGAATGAAAGGAAAAAAAAGGAGACAAAGGAGAGAAAGGAGAAAGCGCCAAAGCAAGTCAAGCAAGTGTAGTACCACAAACCAACTGGAAACAATGTGTGTGGAAATCAAGGAGCAGTACTGATAACGGAAAGATTAAGGTAATCAGAATGTGAATAATTAATCACACACTCCTTTTTAAATTAAAATGTTTCAAAGAAGAACGTCTCCCCTCTCACTCACCGTTTGCCAACACATTACATAAATAACTAAGTTGCATTTCCCTCTACTTTGGTTCTTTTTTGAACGAAAAAAAGAAAACCATCGCGCGTGATAAAATGATTCCTGGCCATATGGATAAGGACAACAAACATTTAAGCTATTACAGAGTTTTTAAAAAGTAGGAAGTAATCATGACTGGAGTTGTTAGTATCAATCATTACACATGGTTGCTCGCCTTACAACAATATGTTTGATTTTTTTGCTTTTATTCCAGGACTGTGCGTTTAACAAACTGCAGTCTAATTCAGCGCTCAGTCTCATTCCAGGGAAACATGATGGTCTCTGGTCATAATAAGTGTAACCGCTGGTATTTCAAGTTCAATGGAAATGAATGCAGTGGACCAATGACGATTGAGGCTGCTGTTTTCAACTACTGGTTCTCTGGGAACGCTCATCTGCTTCATCATCGGTCATTTGAGGGGTACTGTGAAAACATCACGCCAGGCGCAGTTAGAGTGGAATTATGGGTAGGAAAGTGTAGTGACCGAACCCTGGGTGATGCTTACACTGGGTGGGGTTTAGTGCACCGGATAATGATTGAAGAAGTATCTAGGCCCCAGTCCTAATGAGGGGAGTCTTTACCTTCAACGCTGTTTCAATTTAACAGTATCATGATTTTTTATTATTATGTTGACATGTTAGTCCTGTGCAGCAGCTCTTTGTTTTGTCACGCTGCGCTTCTTTAGTTCCTTTGTGGGGAGGCACCTCTCGTGACGACACAATAATCGGCTTATCGAGCTCGTAGGGAATTGATCTCCCTGACCATGCAGCCGTTTTGTCTTGTAACTTACCGCTCCTTCTCGTTCCGTGACGAGACAAAATGGCTGTGATTGAGAGTGACTGATTGGAAATGCTTTTTGTAGATGATATGTTATGGATGCAAAATATATCACTAAAGCTTCAGGGGAACCAATTCACTCTTGGCTTACCATTTATACCATCAGATTTCCGTTCATTTCCTATAAAGATGTAGTCAAAGTAAAGGTCGTGATATAATATTTCATGTAAGCGAAAAAAAAAAATAGGCTGAAGAGGTAACCTTTGCATTTAAAATATTTCGACTGAAAAATCTTTAATTAAATCCGGAAGTGAAAATGATTTTTAAAATTAAATCGTTCTTTAATTAAATCACACTGCACGATTCCTTTTGCAGCCAAACCGCTTCGAGGGAAGACCATTATTAAAAACGGATTAGATTTCGAGGATTAAAATCGCACCTCGTAAAATTTATATCAATTAGCTAGGAAGATGAATGTGATTATAGGATAACTTGATTATCTTTAGCCTGCGAGGAAGGTGTTCGAAAGGGAAAGGAAAGGGAATTTAGACGCGAGACCGCTCGCGAAGGAGAAGGGAGGAGAGGTAAGCGTTTCCCTTCCTCCTTTCTCACGCGCCCTTAAGTGCTTCTCACGCACCAAAAACCGTTCCTTCCCTTCCCTTTTGAATGTCTGCCACAGCGGAAAAAGAGGAATATGTGTTTACTCGTAACATTGAGATTCTTGTCAACAAACCTTCCAATTACTTAAATAGCACCTTTGTTATATTTTTTGCATGTCATTGCAGTTTGCTTTTAGGTGTGATTAAAGCTTTCAATAAAAGACAATCAGTCTAACAGTATGTACAAATCTTGTCCTTTATTTTTCCTATCAAATAAGATCGAACTCGTTATGTCTGCTCCTTAACAGACGGGGTACTCAACAAATTTTTATGCGGGTCCTAGGGTCCAACCCCTTACCCTTTTACATACCATTTTTCATGAAAAAGGAATCCTTTCGTATACCTTCTATTGACAAATGGTACCCCTTTCACATACCTTGTTTGAACTTTGCATTTCTTTTGACTGCTGTAAATGCACTGTCATTTGAATGGGAATCAATCACAAAAATAGAAAGTTTTCTCGACTTTATAAAGGCATAAAATTCATCTGTCAGCCCCTTTGGGCCCTTTAACAGACCCAAATGACAGATTTCCCTACCCTTTCATATACTTCAAAGAGTTAAATCCCTACCCTGTCATATACCTGAAGCCTGAAAAAGGTACCCCTTTTGGGCGGAGCCTCCCCGTATAGGCCATTATAGGGAGTACCCCCTCCAGGAGCCTAGACATCCAACCAGGTAACTTATAAACGCAAGGCTTGTATCAATAGAAACACGCGCATAACACATGGTGACCATTGCATGCAAACCGCCTTTTACAATAGCAAGAAGGCGTAACTATCACAGAATTTCATTACTCTGTGGCCTCCCCAAAAACTATAGTTTAAAGATCTATAATAAGTAAATTGGACCGTTCTAAATGAATAGAGAAAAAAGCAGTTTGCCCAAGTCACGTGCTTGATGATGTCATCACCTTTCAGCCCGAGATATGAGTCAAACCGAAAACAAGACTGAATCGTTGGCCAAATTAAATCTTCCGCTACCATTACCGTTAGGTACCCCAATACTTTCAGACACCATTTTATTTTGTTTCTTCGTGAATAGGTGCACAGCTATCTTCCCAGAAAGCGGTAAATAATGGTGGAGATAACCGCGGCGCAATGAGCGTCGAGGACTATCTAGCGCTAGGCACCGACCCTAAAGAGGGGTAGATGTTTAGCCATTTTCAGTGGCTAGCTATGCTAGCAATTTTCGCGTGTTTTGATTGACCCCTGTAACTTCCGAGGGTCTTATATCCAAGGGGCCTTAAAATCGGAATAGAAAAAGCGTGAAAACCACCTTTAAGCTCTCCAGTTACAAGAGCAAGTTTTCTTCAACAAGGAAAACTTCCCCGCCGTTAAAATGGTAAAGGGAAACTCCATTATGTTACGAGCCTCATTATGTTACAAGCTCACAATTTTGTTATCGCGCGAGAATGAAGCTGCCTCTAACATAAATGTCTCGCAACAATGTTTTGTAGCAGGTATATTTTGAAAAAGTGGGTTCATGTTCTACATTATGTAGCGTCTGCTACAGAGAAAAATAAAAACGAAGGCGATGCTGTCTCCTTATGACTGACTCCAGATCGTAATAGCCGGGGAGGCTACTCAACACTAGCTTTATATGGGGAGACTTCGCCCCGAGGACTAACCCCTTAACCCTGCACTTACCATTTTTGACAGAAAAGATACCCTTTTGTATACCTTCTATTGGCCGTATTTAAACTAGAGACGGATTATCCGCCTGAGACGGGTTATCCGGTGGAAAGTTCGCGTCAAGCAGATAATCGTCTCATATGATTGCACTTAAGCCTTCCTCTTCAGTTATGGGCCCATATCATAGCTGTAATAACGAAAAAATTAATACATCCAAATATAATCCCCACCGGGTCTAATAAGTTCCCCTCTTGGCTGAACTGAATTGAATTCGGTTTATAATGACGTTTTGAAGCCTTAATTAACGACCATTAAGTGCAAAAACATCTATTTTGATCAGCAATGGTACAGCTTACTTCGAAGCGCTTTTTCTATGCCATCTATAGCCTCCCTCGGATATTAAAGCCCCTCCGTTTGTACGCCTTTGTATAAGCAACAGTTTATGGTAATAGTTTAATACTGAAGACGATCTGTTAAGAATGAGCCACATTTAACACGACTGGATATAACTCGATGTCGATGAACTTTGTGTCCGGCACCAACCATACAAACGGTCTAGACCTATAAAATGTCGCGCGACTTTGAGGACCTATATCTTCGTCACTTTTCAACAAATCACTTTCAAAACTTGGCAATTTTACTAATTTTAAGGCCTTTCTTTTCAGTGGTGCCAACTGCTTAACTTCTCTACAGCAAAAGTTGACAAAAAGAAAAGAACGTGGAATAGTCTGTCCTGATTTGAAAGATGTACCCTGTTGAGCTCTGTTGGGAAGAACCTACCCGTATAGGTTATTGTAGGGAACCCCCACCCCCTCCCCCCCCCTTCCCACCTTTTCTCCAAGGTATAAGATATGGGTGTTTAAAAATAAACACACTAACATTAGACACGTTGAGGCTTGTTCAGCTGGAGCTTAATGGAGCCGCTACTTTTTTTCTGATATAGGAACACAACATAGCCAACTTGGACTAAAGGCAAAGTATTATTTTTGGCGCACTAAAGAGGAAAGGCATCGGGTATCGTTAGAAGTGCAAAGTTGTAATAGCATGCATAAATCTTTGTTTCTTTTGTAACAATTTATGTTCTGTGATTTATTTTTGGAATGTTCATCTTTTGACCCTGTTTCAGTACTCTGAAGCGGGCTTATAAACAGAGAATAAGAAGATGCAAAAAATTGCCATAAAAGGAAAAACAAACAAGCAAAAACAAACAAACAGTATACAGGAAAAGAGGTTTTACTTAAAATATTTGCTATAAAATGAATGAGCACGTAGCACTGATTTCAGTAAACGTTGTGTTCTCGTTCAACTCTCAACGCCATGGTTCAGTATTTCGCTGTTTTCCTGATTCTCTGTTTTTTTGGCGGTTCACTGGGAACAACCACCTCACCTCAGCAACAAAACGATTCAAAGTTAAAAGACTTATGCCAGGTAAGAAATGCATAGAGATATAAAAAAGGAGTACTGTGCCGTAAATAGGTACAACCAGAAACTGTTTTACTAGTCTCACGTCGTTATGATCATTTACTAAATAGTAGCCGTTAAAAGTGTATGGCAGTTTATTTAAAAGTCCTCGTTTCAGCATGATCTTTCCTCGAAAACCTGAAACCTGTCCATTGTTCCCTGTTAATTTTCTCTGATTCCATCCAAGTCCATTCGAGGCGAGATAACGCTTTCAAGAGGATTATGATGTCTAAGGTCCATTCCGTGCCTCCAAAATAAGGGAGACGGCTGGCGGGTACAGACTTTGTTCATTTTGGTGTGGAATCATTGTTTGCGAGGCAGCTACGGGCGTGTATGAACGTATTTATCGTTTGAATTCCAAATGAGAAGGAAAGAGAAATAATTATGCGAATTCTTTTTCGTTCCTGTTTTTAATCTAAGTAATGATGACATGCATAATTTATCGGAGACAAGGTCTGAAAACTGGTGTGGATTTTAGAGTCTGAAAACGAGTGTAAAAAATGACGTGTTTTGATCTGAAATAGAGTCAGGATTTGGGGAACCGGGCGGCACATCTCCACCAAAAATTCCCAGAAGTACATGCCCCCCCCCCCCCCCCCCCCCACTTACAAC